GCAAGTCAGTTGAGCAAACAGTCCTTCTAAAAAAAAAAGCTCAGTTTTAGTTGAAATTCCCCCGAACGCGTCAATGACAAAACACTTGAGAAGTGCTTGACGCTGGCAGCAGCGTGGAGCAGTTAGACTGGCAGTCCTCACTACTCTGAGCTCTGGCACTGTCCCTCTGCGTTCCTCCAGCTCCCGATCTGCCACAGAGCAGCTCAGCACATGGAAGTTGAAAGCCTGATTAAAGGAAAAGGATCCTTCCTAATTATTTCTATATTATTTAATTGGGGCCTGGTGCAGAGTAGCCTGAGGCTCTTTGGTTTTCCGAGCTCTTAATTACTTAATTGGATGAATTACCGACTTCAGTGGCTTAATCCACCCCTGCATCCAAGCCTGCAGCCCAGCTGGGAAATTTCACTTCGAGAAGCCAGAGTTCACAGGGGCCACAGAGTTCGGTATTCTAGAGCCACAGCATCTGGCTCCTGACCACACCTGGTCTCAGGGACATCACTGGTCATTATTCTAATTACATAAAAAAATATTTCTCCTCCTCCTGCATTGACCAACATATGTAAATTCACTTACATTTGCTTCATGCCAAAGGAGAATTGAGAAGCTGTTTAGACGGTTCAGCTCAGCATTGTGAACAGCCTCAATTAATATTAATTCCCATAATCTGTTGCGAATGCAAGCTCTTCGAAGATAACAACCCAGAGATGCTTCCTTTTCAGCGAAGCAGCGCTGTGTCCAGGGACAGGCCAGCGGACTGCGACAGCTCTGCTGTCCGTTGATGTCCAGAGTGTGACAGCACACTGCTCCGATGGATGCGTGTAGCAGCGTTGCATGATGGGCCTGTGGTCAGCGCTGTGCCCAGGAGCCAAGGCTAAAGAACTGTACACGTACACACATTTTGTGAACGACACTCACACCAGGATATTTCGTTCTGGAAAGCCTGAATTCTTTTAGCATTTAGTGCTTCTTTTACATCGTGAAGCTTGTTATTTGGACACCGATCTTCATTAAGCAAGCAAAGAATCTGACCCCTCATTAAACCCTTCAGGGCACACCCTGCCCACAGGCATGACCATTTCACAGGCCTGACTGAGCCCAGTGCAGGACCCGAGAGTCAACATGCTGAACACCACTTCTGGGAAGGTTTACCTGCTTCTGTAAGGGAGCATAAACAGAAGTAAATACTGCAGTGCATAAAAGTCTTATTGGAGTTTACTTATGTGGTGGAAGAGTAGGTCCCTTTGTTAAATATGTAAATGGATTTGGGATCTTAAATGCCACAGAAATGCAAGAAATGACTTCTTTGCCTGCCATTGTATTCAAGGCTGAAGCGGTCCTCCAGCATGTTGCTTTCCTCTGCTGCTCTGAGCTGTGGGACGTTAAGAATAAGAAAAACATCAGGGGAAATATTCTAGGTGCTGACTGCCAAGTGTTCGCTTTCCTCCCACACACCCCTCAGTAAGGGCTGGGCGGTCAGAAATAGCGTCACTCCTACAGCGGCAGCACTGTGTCAATCAGTGTGGCATGCATGGCTTGGCACATGCTGGGTTACAGGTACTATCCACTCACCTCTAGTCTGGCAGAGCTTGAAATGACCAAGCAGCCTTCACAGTGGCAGTGTGGTTAGTGAGGCATCTTTAAAGATTCTGGGCTTGAGTCCATATGTGTGGAGTCTGCATACTCGGCCCTGCTCAATTATATACTGTACGATATAGTCAATTTGTAAAGACACTGACAAAGGACACCATCTGTATCCATAACGGAACAGAGGACATGTGAATGAAGAGCATTTATTTTGAAGTCTGAACAAGAGGTATTTCTGGAACATGCGATCCAGAAGTAAAATAGATTGCCCTATGTCTTCTCGACAGAAGTCTGGATAAGATCTTCAGGTCAGACAGCCATGACTTTGGAAAAACTCTTCATGACAGTCCAATTCCAGATCAGACATGACCAACGCTTCTCCATTGCTGTAAAGGCAGTTGTTGAAAACATACTTACCCTAAAAGAAAAAAAAACACACAGCTGCCCCAGACCACAACTGAGAAAGGATGTGGTTTAGCACCAGACCTGGGTTGCCCAAGCCAGACTGTCAGCCGGGGCTGGAGAAGGACAGTCTGAGAAAGTGATGTGCGTGACCGGAGTTTGAAATCTGACCAGGGCAGCACAGACTGCCTAAGCCTCTTAAAGAGAGAAAGAGGGGGAGAGAGACTTCACAGATCCTCCTGAAATCACGGGAGCCCCAGACCATCGCAGGACTGCGACTTGGAGAGACTCTTCTCTGCCCTACCATGGTCATCTGGCAGCCCTTCAATACCAACATCTCAGCAGGCTGCTTCTTGATGACCTCCCAGTACAAATAAAATACACAGAGAACCAGCAGTCTTAGTCATTTCATTACGTGCTGCAGTCCAAGCAAACTCTGTACAGATTTCCGAGCTTATCGCCATGATATGAGCACATTTGGACGGTGAAACAAATGTTTTCAGCTCAAGCGGTTGGCAAGACCTGCTGTAGGTCAGCCCCCCCCCAACAGGCTCAAAATCCGAATGAGTTGTAGAAACAGGCCTGTCTGAAAACCCAACTGACAAATTGCTCTGTTCTCTCATTTGGATCAGAAAATCGTCACAGCTTTCAGACAGGCCTGCTTTGAAGACGTCTTTTTACGAGCTTTTCATGTACAGTACACTCCTAAGCCTTTGGGCTCCCAGCAGGCTCTCCGGAGGAAAGGACTCTTTCCACCCAACCCGGCTGCTGCTCCGGCTTCTCTTCAGTGTGACTGTTAGCTCCATTTACTCATCGTTTAAAACAAAAACAGTGTGTACGACCAATGGCGTGGGTCTGCTGGAACAGGCCATGAACAACACTCTATAGACAAGAGCACAAGTTCACTGTGGAAACACACTGGATAGGAGCTTTTCAGACTACCGATTCTCAACAGCCTCCCAGATAGCACCTACCAGACCAGGGGAAAATGAACAGCTCTTGAAAGAGACAGCCCTGCAGGGTTACAGGCAACGTTGGCTCCACACAGAGCCTCTTGCCAGACCCCAGACAAATCACAAACCCACAGCCTGGTGTTGAGCAGGTCAGATCCACCCAGAAACGGGGGCATTTTGGACCAATTAGGCCAATTATAGAGTCATTAAGCTACAAAGATCTAAGGTTTAATATAAACCAGTGTCTCTTGAGGAAAGTGCTGGTTTGCCTCCTGTTTAGCTCAAGTAAGACACAAAGCAGGTCCACTTCCCTGACCTCCTCCTCCACAGCACCTGACACCAACCAGCCTTATTAAACACCCTCTTAACCAACTGGGCAGGACAGTCAACAACAAAAACACAAAGGCTACTCTTCACTGGCTGGACTACCGGTCACCTAACTCAGAATCCTATCCGAGTTGGCCTGCTTTTTCCCCCCACCAAACTTCTGCGTCTTGATACTAACACTCTCTTTCTCCCTGCGATTATGCAGGAGGCCTGCTAACAGCGGTGTGCGGGAAAAGGCCTGGTCAGCCAGGTAGCGAGAGCTGTGTGCACAGGCCAGCCTGAGCGGTCAGACAATGGAACTGAGACAACGTCACCTAAACAACTCTGAGTCGGCCGCCCGGCCTGCCCTGCATGTGTCAAACAGCTGATGTTCGGCGTTCAGTGCCTGCTGCGCTGCGTTTGGAAGACATCCGAAGATGCCAGGCACCTCTTTGTTTCAGTCTGAGCCCAGCCTCATATGTGTGCAGATCAAGGACAGAGAGGGGGAGCGGAGCGGAGCTGACAGCGAGCTGCGGCTCCTCCGGGTTCACAGTTTTCCCAAAACCCACATTCCAGGCCGGCGAGGCAGCCCGACCTCGCCGGGCAGAGAAGCTGCGCCGCGCACCAAACGCAGGCCAAGGCCCCCGAGAGAGGGAGGAGAGAGCGGCTCCGTGTGTGAGAAACTAATGGGGGACAAAAGATTTTTTTTTCCTCGTTCTTTTCTTTTCACAACAAAAGAGTCCCGTCCGTCAAAAGCAGTACCAGCCACCCCCACCTCTCCACACTCGTATCCGCCATTTTCACTCCCGAGTGCAGAGAGACGCCGCACAAAACGCACGGCAAGCGGCAAGCGGCAAGCGCTTGGGGTAGTAAAATTCCCCTCCTTTTTAACATGTTAGGGTGCAAGAGCAAGAAATGGAATCGATAATCGCGCATAATGCTGAAACAAAAACCTTCCTGCACTCAAATTAAAAAGGTACTCGGGCTGTAGTTATGTGAAAGGACTGTTGTTGCATTTAAAACAAATCCTTCCCGTCTGCTTTCTGATTTAAGATTGAAGGTGATGTCACCGGCCCCCTACTGAACTTGTGGCGAGATTGTTGGGATTTCTTTCGTGTAGGACCTTCCCACCATCTCTCTCTTTCGCTCACTCCCCCGATTCTTGTTGGACTTTATTTTCCACCAAAAATGCACCACCAGCTCCGTCTGACCTCGGTCCTGCAACCCCCCACCCCCGCCAGAACCAAACCCCCTTCCAGAGCCTGTAACTGAATCCCAGGCTCCGGCCACACAGAGAGCTGCTCACTCCCCCTATCCAGGCGCTCTCCTGCGTTCACCCCCCCGCCAGCGCAGGCAATAACCTTATATAGGACTCCTCCATTTCCAAAATGGACGCTGTCGATATGGAAAAAAAAAAATCTGGCTTCCGCGACATTTTTTAAAATCCTTTCTGCAAACCGCACCAAGCACCGAGTGTCCAAGCGCTCCCATCTTCCCTTCCCTCCCTCCCCAGCTCCAGCTCCGGGACCGGGGGTCACTCTCTCCCCGCACGCCGGAGAGGGGAGCCGGGAGCGGCAGCAGGCGGCGGAGGGGGTTGGAAGAGGAGGGGGTGAGGGGACGGGCAAGAGCAGAAGTAGTTGGCTTGCAAAGAAAAATAAAGGAGGAAAAAAAAAACAATAACACGGACAATTGTCACCCAGAACTGAAACAATTAACAACAACAAAACAAACCGTGCAGGTGTCCTGCCGCCTTACCCAAAATCGTCGTCCATAGATTTGAAGAAAAACTTGTAGCTGGGTTTATTGAGGACATTTTTGAAGTCTGCCAAAGTGACCCTGTCGGCGGGGATGGGCAGCTTGACCAGGTACGGGGTCTCCTGGTCGTCGATGTGGTAGATGATCTTGGTCTCCCCCATAGCGAGCCGCTGGGGAGGGGCAGGCCAGGCGCATCCAGCCCGGGGGCCGCCGGCTCTCCGCTGCGCTTCCCCGGGTCCCCCCCGAACACCGACCGGCGAGCTCTAATCCTCTGGCTCGGCAAGCCGGAGAGACCGCGGCGGCGTCTTGCCCCCACACACAAACCCAGAAAACAAACGCAACAGCTCCGGTGCGAGAATAAACCAATCCCTTCTGGTTCAATCCCCTCTTCTTTTCTCCGAATTAAAAAAAAATACAGAAAAAGTTTTCCTTCTTTCCAAACCTCCTGTTTATACGGGATCTCCAGATCCGTGCTCTCCGATCCCTTTCTCTCTCACTCGTCCCCCCCCCCCTTTTCTCTCCCAGTAGCAGCTGTCCGTCTTTCTCTCGTTATTCCAGGATACTCCCTCTGCAGGAGGAGGGGAAAAAGAATGGAGAAAAAATCAATGGAAATGCACACTGGTCGATCAGCGCCCCCCAGCGTCGCTCGGCGGACTAATCCGCGGAACAATACATTTTCCCATCCTTCCTCAATTAAAGCTTCTGCATGAGCGTCTGCGTCGGTCCTGCATCAGGGTCAGGCTGGATCAGATACGGAGGGCGCTCCGTTCAGTGCGTGTGTCGGCTAGTGTCCAGGCCACGGCTTATTCTGATGACAGAATAGACGAGGAGGAGTTGAGAGCGATTGATCCCATCAACTGATCGATGTTGCTCGATTATGAGATGTATTAATACAATTTGCGGAACTGCGTGGAATTAGTTGGTTAATTATGTGTCACCGATAGTAAGCATGTCTTTAGACTGAGGGAAGAAACCAGAAGGAAGGGAGGAAACCCACATAATCATGGGGAGAACATACAACCTCCACGTAGATAGCACCCCAGGAATTGAAGCCAGAACCCCAGCACTACGAGGCAGCAAGACTAAGTACCGCACCACCAAGCTGCTCTATACCTTAACCCTGAAAATACATTCCTTCCCCTGGTTCCACTAAGCCTGTGTGATTACACACTTCCCCCTGATTGCATTTGCTTATAGCTCATTTATAGTGAACTCATTGATTGATTCAGTATGGCTCGATTGAATGTAGGTCTGCTGCAGTTATTTCTTGAAAAAAAAACTGGGTTTCTGAATGCTATAAATGGGTCCTCTTGAAGTCTTCTCTGCTGGAGAGTATAATATTCAGTTCCTTCAGCCTGTCAGTGCCCAGGAATGTCTGGTTACTCTAATCTGGACTGATTTCTGAGCAGATATTCCTGATTTGCATGTGGAGTCAAGTTGTACACACTATTCTAATGGAGGTCTAACTAGTGCATTGCACCGTTTTAACAACTTCTCCAGTTATTTTTTATATTAAACTCACTTGTTTGCCCAGCTCTTGCTTTGTCTACATTGTCAGGAAGAAGAAAATGATGTGTCAGCATAACCTATTGTTACCTACACCTACAATTGCTGAAAACTATAAAAGCAATTTGTGAATTAGCTGCGCTGCTGAGGGGCAGCTCTAAAGGGCAGCTGTGCAGGTCAGTGAAAAACAGACTTCACCTGGCAGGGGTCAGTACTGTCCAATACACACGCAACCAGAGAGAGAGAGAGATTTCCTTTCTGTCCCGTAAGAGAATGTAACTCCTTTTTCCTCATGAAAATAAGACCTTACAAACCAGTCATACCATTCTGGAACCTTTAAAGAACTTATCTGGGATGCAGGAGAAGGGCCCCTTGCTATTAACTGTAACCCCATTTAAAGCAGGCACTTATTTTCTTTTATGCTGAAAAGCTTGTAGTGGCTGCTGACTCACCTGCTACCCTGCTGAAGACCAGACAGGGATGTGTGGGAACCTGGATTGCTAGAAAGTGAGGAGCCCTTCCGTAATGAAAGATGCAGCCGACTCAATTCAGTTTAAAAGTGCCCATACTGACCCGTTAATGTGCCACTCATCTCTTGGTGGACCAATCTCACCCTCTAGTGGACAGAGCTGGTTACTGCAGCTTTGCCTAGGAGTATCTCTGGTTCCCCGACTGCAGAGAGCTGCCAGACCTGGTTTTCTCCAGAGCTCACCCTGCGGGCCGGCGCGTCTCTGTGCCGGGTCACACAGCTCCAGAGCTCACCCTGCGGGCCACTGTGTTTCTGTGCCAGTGTCATACAGCTCCAGAGCTCACCCTGCGGGCCGCTGTGTTTCTGTGCCGGTGTCATACAGCTCCAGAGCTCACCCTGTAGTTCACCATGTCTCTGTGCTGGTGACAACCCAGCTCCAGAGCTCTCCCTGTAGTTCGCCGTGTCACACAGCTCCAGAGCTCACCCTGTAGT